ATCGGCCCTCCCCCCGGCTCAAATTTTTTCAATCGGCCCTCCCCCACCCCAAAAATTTTTCGGTCGGCCCTCCCCCCATTTTTCCAGTCCATGTCTCTTTCTCCCTCCGTAAATTCCTGAATGAAGTACGCATCCCGATTAAAGTACGCACCCCCGATTTGGGGCTGGTGGGAGACAAATATTCCCGTCTGAAACGTAAAATGGAAAAACTCGAATTAAGTACGCACCCCTTCTACGCACGGCCGGTACTACAGTGAACATGTAGTATGTATGTCTTAAAGACAGTTCGTCGTTCCAAACAAACTTAAAAATTGTTAAAAACTAGATTTGTGCCGTGTACTACGTGATGGTATGGTAACGTAGCGGGAATCGTTTCAAGTTCGGCTTGTTTTTCACCGCCGGCCGCAGCCGACTTGCAAGACGTCACCACCGCATCGAAAGGTAAGGCAAGTGCGGCGAAACGCGCAGATGATCACAGATTTGGATCCAGCTTTGGAGTGTTGGTGATCAGGCAAGCAAAGACAATATTTCAATATTGATTTTATCGGTAACGGGGGGTAGTTGAATGTTGATGCACAAGTACGTAGCTTTAATGTTTTTAATACGAAATGCACCGAACACTTCTTTAATAGCGCCCACCCGATCGACCCATGGAGAGCAACAATCATACAGGCGGAGAACTGGGCGGAGTATTTGGGTGTAGAGGTGGTACCGAATTTAAAATTTGACACCGAAACCAATTAACACAACAACAAAAGACTACTGGGATCAATGGGACTTGCGATTCCGAACAGGAGAAAGTGACAAGTTTGACTGCGTTTCAAGTAATCTCTCGTTATGTGATAGATGTTTTTGTCACAAAATCTAAGGAATAAACACGTATTAATTTGTACTCCGTAAAACTTATAAGTTCCTTCTCGGGGTCCATGTTCTGGAAAGCTGTCCTCAGCGCTGCGCATGCCACGGCCCTCTCTGTGTTCTTCAGCCGTAGGTGTACTTTGCCTGTCGGCCCGCGAAACACCCCACCCACCGGCCGGGCGGTAAGATTTCATCAAAGACTACATTTTAAGTTAACTCCGCCCCTATCATTGTAGTTTGCCGAACAGTCGAGTAGGAGTACATCTAGCTGGAATTTTCACGTCGTACTGGCTGGTGTAGCCCGCTACAAATATAATTTCCTGTGGCATTTATCAAGATTTAAAAATATTTGTGATACGAAGTGAAACATGGTTAACAATTTCTGAACCTTTGAAACGACATGGGCATAATGTTTGTTGAAGATTCCTGAGTTGAACTCAAGCCGGAAGTGTATTGGAAATGACCAGGCACAACTGTTATGTTATCACATGTTACGTTACGACGATCAAGAACGTTCACGGCTTGCGGACCATTTCAAATATTACCACTCATAAACCCTACAATTGTATGTGTACTTACGGGAGGTTATATTTTTGCCGGGGTTCCACTGAGATCGGCGCCGGCTAGCTGGGGAACGATCCTGTCGGCATGACAAAGCGCCGGGCGTCATTGCTAGTGACCAACATTTTCTTACCGTGGGTGACTTGACTTCTTCTTTTACCGCAACTTGGTGTCAATATCGACGATAGTCACAGGAAATATGTTCATTTATTGAAGTTTAACTTTATTTCCACTCGTCAATATTCTTATCTAAACATGCTATAGACGATCGATGTCCCAAGCTTCCCGTGCCGGTGTTCCGCTATATTCCTGGGTCGTCCACGGATTTGTCGGCGGAAAACTCAAATAAAGTACGCACCGCGACTTTGGCGACGGCCCGAGACACTTCTGGGATTTTGAAAAATGTAAAAAGTGCGTACTATATTCGGGAATTTACGGCGTATTTCTTGTAATTCGGTACTACGTGACGCTATATTTTACAAAAGTTTTTCGGTGGCCCTCCCCCCCAGGCCGATTTTTTTTTCGATGGCCCTCCCCCCGGCTCAAAATTTTTTTCCATGGCCCTCCCCCCAGGCCAAAAAATTTTTCAATGGCCCTCCCCTCCAGTGCACCAGCCCTCCCCCCCGGTAAATATCGTACAGTCCCTAAGAACACATAATATAATGTCCTTGGCACAAAGAGTGGGACACACAATTAACATTGTGCTTTTGATACGCCAAAAAGCAGTTACTCAAGCAACTGGATGATTTTGGAAATTGTGCTTCTGAGTTTAAACAGATGAAAAACAGTTGGCTCCTGGGATGTGTTTAATGAAGTAACTGTGGTTCAGAGAGAAAGTGACAATTGGAAAATTAGTAAAAGTTACGGGACCCGGTGTTACTTTAAAAAAAAACCCATGCAGTTCAAATCACAGACATTGATGGTCACTTCACAAAGCACACTAGGGATTAGGCATACAACTGTTTTTCATTTGTTTAAAGAACAAAATTATATAATATTAATAAGTAATATTTCAGTTTTGGTGCCTTTCATCATCAACCCAAAATCCTATTTGCAAAAGGTGATTCATTAGTTTCTACCAGTCCCGCACACATACATGTAGGGGTGATATTTGACCCAAATCCCTGTTCATGTTTGATGATTGCCTATTCCACCAGGAAGCTGCGGTGATGCAATGGGTCCCTATGTTTGCAGGACTGGTAGAAACTAATGGATCATCATACATTGCAAGTAGGATTTTGGGTTGAAATGCATCAAAGCTGAAATTACTTAACTTGTCCTTAACTAAACTCAAAAGCCAATTCTGAGCGGTACCTTGGCACAGCACAATGTAGTCTGCCAGGTTCCTGAGTGTGGTTTTGACGATGTTGTGGTCGTTCGTGTCCAGGCAGTGCAGGAAGGAGTCCAGGAACTCTGCAGCACAACTGTAACAACAGTACACAAATGGAATATACATTTGTATTTCCAGTCAGTTGTGGGGTCGTGTGGCGCAATGGCAGAGTGCTCGATTCGAAACCAAGAGGTCCCGGGTTCGAGTCCTGACGTGCCACTGACCTTGTGCCCTTGGGAAAGGTACTTAACACGCCTTTCCTCACTTCACTCAGGTGAAAATGAGTACCTAGTTTTGGTTAGGGATGTCCCTCGGATAGAACGTTAAATGGAGGTCCCGCGTTTGGGGAGAGCCACACTCCACCCATGTTAAAGAACCCACCACACCTTTCGAAAAAGAGTAGGGGCATGCCCCGGTGTGTGATGGTACAAAAACTACGGACACTCTAGGAAGAGTAGTGTGAAATTCACACTAATCGAGATCCTAAAACAAACAAACAAACAAGCATAATAGGATAACCATCCCCACCTTGGTTCACTCTTGATGTGTCTCATGTCCAGGTTGTGTGCGATGTTTCTACAGTCAATGTTTTAGAACAAATGCCCCTGCAGTTACAGAACAAACTTCTAGGGGGCCCAAACCTACATAACATGATAAATAACCATCCTACCTTGGTTCACTCTTGATGTGTCTCATGACCAGGTTGTGTGCGATGTTTCTACAGTCATCGTGGCTGTCCGACATCAGTCTCTTCAAGTCAGCCTGGAACAAAATTTAAAAAAAACTCAACTTCAAAACAATTTTCTGTATCAGTTAGCCGGTATAACTGCCCTTCAGCGTAACACACCAGCTTCTGTATCAGTATAGCCGGAGTAACCGCCCTTCAGCGTAACACACCAGCTTCTGTATCTGTATAGCCGGTATAACCGCCCTTCAGTGTAACACACCAGCTTCTGTATCTGTATAGCCGGTATAACCGCCCTTCGGTGTAACACACCAGCTAATGACCAGTTCTGATTTACAGTCAAACCTGTTCTAGTGGTAATCTTTGTCATCTGCCCTTAGTGGTTACTTTTTGTTGGTCTCTTGGATTTCTGCCATTGGCCATCCTCCCATGGCAGGGGCAGCGGCTCCGAATTCCTTCTCCACCCCTACCCCTGCCGTATTACATGGCATCTTCTACTCTACGACCCGAGGAATATTAATATTCATGAGCTTGCCTTATTTGGCATGACCCCATTTCTGACTTGGGCGGCGAAGGGACGTCACCCTCCCCGCCGGCGACTCCGCCGCCGCCCGGTGACGAGCCCGTTAACGCGTTGGGGAGGCCGTGCGGGGCAAAGTCACCGAGTTAACACCTTCCCCGTGCTCGGCGGGATCCGCGCGCAGCCTCCAGCACACGCTAGCGCCCCGCCGACGCCCGCAGCGGCCTGCATCGCAAAAGTTCTCTTCCCGAGACGACGCCATGTTTGTTTTTATTTGTCACTGAATAGCCGACATGATTGGTTCCGATAGCTAGCGCATCTCATAAATATTAATGTAAAGTGCGTTGAAGATTTTCTCTGTGATACGTGATTGGCTGAGAGCGTGTCCCTGGAATCGGGTCGTAGAGTAGAAGATGCCGTGTAATACGGCAGGGGTAGGGGTGGAGAAGGAATTCGGAGCCGCTGCCCCTGCCATGGGAGGATGCCATTGGCTTAAACATTAAGAATTGCAACTTACTATAATATATGGTCCATGATCTAATGTCTTACATGTATGTACATGATTTGTGAATGGACGCAGTCAAGTAAGTTTTCAAACACAGTCACTTATATTGTTATTGGGAGCAGTGGGCTTTAACCACTACAGGTACAAATGTAAGTTCAAAATAGAACCATTTTATTTAGATTTTAATTCACAGCTGCTTAAGACATAAGCCTGGGTTTCCTTACCAGGAAGTGTTCAAGGACGTCTACCCGCCTCTTGGAGGTCTGCTCAAGGTCGTGAAGAACCTTCAGAACATCTGAAGGACAAGAAGGAAAATTATGATTCATTGAATGAAAGACGTTTATTGTACATTTTACTGGTATGCTGTTACAAACTAAGTACAGGTCATGGAGACAAAGCAGATCTGAAGTAAAATTACAGAGATATCTTTTTACTAAATTTAAAATGAACAAGTTCAACTTATTCTCGCTTCTTCTGATTCTGAGCAGAAATGATTTCAGAATTCCACCCACCAGGTTGGTAGAACATCTGCTAGATATAGCGACGAGAATCAGAACTCCAGTCAGAAGCTCTGAGGAAAATGTCTGATAGACATCGAAAGACATCGAAACGTGAGCTGGAGAGTACTGGTTTTGTAAAAAAAAAGCCCCAATAACTTACCATCATGATCCTGGCCTTTCTTGATCCTCTTCAGGAAAGGAGCCAGCTGAACAGCTGTCCAGGGGGTGCCGGAGGCAGGCGGAACAACCAATGGGATGGGCGAGGCTCTTCCCGTCTCCGGCAGCCCTCCCTCCTTGGCTGATGAGGATGAGGATGTCTCCTCCAGGGAGTCTGAGGAGGATGAGGGGAGAGAGATGCCGGCTAGGAGGGACTTCAGCAGGGACAGGTCCGGGTACTGCTTGGAGACGTGACTGAGGAAAAAATGCAACATACTTTAACCATCTTTCCAAGGTGACTAATTGGCAATATTATAAGTATTGGTTATGAGTTTGGGAAGCAGTTGAAAGGTTACTAAATTCAGGCACTTTTTACAGGTCTGGGTACTGCTTGGAGACATGACTGAGGAAAAAAGATTTAAAGAAATTTAAGATTCTGGTATCGCATATCTTAACACTGGAATACTACACAGGTCAGGACAGTTGTTACTTTTATATAGGGTGCTCTGTTACCCTGTCTTATTATTTGACAGTGCGATTTTGTGTGTATCATATGTTAAGGACCACAGGAAGGGTAGCTGACAGGCATGTTTGATAGGCATCTAAACGTAAGCAAGGAGAGAGAATTACTGGTTGTGTAGAAGAAAACCCCAATATCCAATAAGTTCTTACTGTAATGTGACAGAGTGTTTCTGCAGTAATGCCACAGCTCTCTGGGGGTCACTTGAGGTGAACTGGTGCAGGAACTGGATAACTTTGTTCACCAGGGCACCCAGCTCTCTCCTGCTCGAGTAGTGTTCCTGTAAAAAATAACAGCAACACAGTCACTAAACTATTTTAGTATTTACTTGTCCTGCTGTATGTGCCCATATACATGTACATGTATGAGTTGCAAGCCTTGGTGGAACATTAGGTAAGGCCACAGCAAGTAATTTTTATGGATGACATCATTCTGCACATTAATTTTCACCTGATTTTTGACATACAAACATTGTCAAGAAATTTTGTTGCCCTCTGACAGTGGTCACCAATTGCCGAAAATGGGCAAAGATGTCTGTTGCCATGCCGGAATGTGGATAGCACATAATAATAATACATGTATGAAGAGAAGAGACAAGACAAAGCTATATAATTATCATTTTGTCTTTTATTTTGATGCAGTGATGCATTTCATTCCTTTTATATGTGCTGTACACTGAATCAAAACCATCTGTACAATGACTGAAAACTTTTATTTTTCAGTGACAATGGATGTTGTTAGTAATAATTGGCAGTAAACTTATATAATAAATTATGTATCATTTTCTTGTTTAACACAGTTTATGATGTCAAAATTTGAAAATGTAGGAATTTTTTTTTTCCTTATCTAAGTAGATTTGGAGTGGGTGGAGGATGTCCTCCATAAAGTGTATTTGCTTTGGCCTTAATACAAATAAATCAAGCAACAAACATACTTCACAAATTATCTGAGGTGCTAGATATTACAGTTCCTACCTTAAGAAGGTCGAAATAGGACTCCAAAACATCTTCCAGGACGTGCTCCTTGCGGAAGACATGCGGCACCAGCAGCTCCAGGAGGCCCAAGACGTGGGTGAAGAACAGGAAGTGATGTCTGTGGAAGAACTCGTCAAAGTTCAGGTGGACTCGACCTCGCAGGAGGGCAGCGATCATCGGGAGTTGTCTGGATGGTAGGAGGGACTCAGATGTTAGACATTCAAGTAGCAGAATATAATCTTTAACAGAGGGGGCCCCAAATTCCTCACTGTTTCTCACTTGCCCCCTTTAATTGGCCAGTGGGAAACAGTGAGGAATTAGGAATTTGAAACGTGACACAAAATACATTAAAATGTATTTTGTGTCACGTTTCAAATCTTGAACTCTAACAGCAGGGTTCTGAAAGTGCAAGTAGCAGATCGTGGGGAGCAAACAAAAGCTAAAAAGGCTGACACTCAGGCTATCCCACAAGAATATGAACTGTAAAAATGCAATAGTAGTAGACTGTAAACTAGGCAGAGGAAGATTTGTTAAAGCGATTATTTTTCCTCCCATATTGCAATCATCATCTGCTTACTAAGATCTGACGCCTTCTGCAGGAACTCTTTAAATTTTTTCTTCTGAAACACTAAGCATCTACTAGAGGTTTTTCTGTGTATTGTTTGTATGTCTCTAGAGTTTTGTATTATTTTTTAAGATGTATTGTGTTTTATGGGTTCGTTTTTACCTGAAATAAAGAATAAAGAAAAGTAAAAGACCCACCTAAGCAGCAGTGCAGGGTGCACCGTGGCCAGTTTCCTACAGAGGATGTTGGTGTCATACATCCTGTCTTCACACACCTTCCCTGCCTCACAGTTCCCCAGTACTGACAGCAGACGGTGGGTGAAACTATCCAGCTGCACATAAGAAATTTAAGATTTTACTCCTCCGTGTACCATTTGGAAATTATTAATAATTTGAAATACGAAATTCACAATTAATAGAATAGAATGATTGATAGAATCTGCAAGAAATTCACTATTAATAATTTGAAATAAGAAATCCACAGTGGATTTCTTGCTGATTCTATGCACAATTCACATAAATTTTTTACATCTCTCATCAACTGCTTTTTCAGAATCACACACATAAATCACTGACCTGACTGTAACCCCCTTGGCAGCCTCCATCTCCATGGAGATGACCTCTGACACGGAATCGTGGGTGTGCATGTGGGGTGCCCTGATGTAGAGGAGGAGGAGGAACTGCCTGGTTGCCATGGCAATAACACTGGAAGAACACAGCAGAACCAATCAAGAAAACAGCAGCTGTTTAACTAGTGGTAATATAACATAGTTGTACATGTAGTACCGTAACATAGTTTACATCATAATCTTTAAGAGTACATGTAATACTGTACAGTAACTCTTTTTCCCCAATCAAAACTACATTGTACATCATTTTAACAATTAAATGACTCATTCCTTCATTCACTACATCTCTTGCTCTCTCCCATTCATTCATTCATTCATTCATGTTCATTCATTCATGTTCATTCATTCATTCAATGACATTCATTCATTCCTTCATTCATTTTTATTCATTCATCAACTAATGCCAGTGAATGATTGCAAGACTTGGTGCTTTTCTTGAAAATACTGTCATCACTAAGTGCTTCCAAGGACAAGCATTCAAATGTAAAGGCTCTTCATAGCACACACTGCAGGTCCACTGTTACAAATGTACCTGTCCTTGTCTTGTCCTGCCATCTTCTTCTGCAGGTAGGTCAGAACTTCGGACGAGATCTCCTTCCTGTTGCCATGGCAACAGCTCAGCAGCAGCGGTAGCCTGGCCTGGATGCTGTCCGACAGCGACGCCCTGGGGTCATCCGAGGTCGAGCGGCACGACTCAACAGCCTCCTGTCGGATGGTTTTATTGAAAAATAAATTAAATTAATTTTTTGGACAAGTTACTCTAAGTCTTATATTCATGCCGCCACCAACACATATATACCAGGTAAGTATATCAAAGAATGTTTAGACCTTAGATCAAGTGGTATTCAGTTGATTCATCTAATTGTTTTGTACGTAGGTCAATTTCGTTGTACCCACGTATCTGTCTGTATGTTTACATGTAGTTAAGGACCTTACGAAAGTTGCTGTACTTTTGTTATGTCAATAAAGTTCTTCATAAGACAACACGTAATACATATAGGACAAGCAAAGCATGAATTAACATTATAGTAATTAAACGATAAACAAGTGAACAAATATTTCCAAAGACTGACTGGACTGACATGCCAAAATATTACAAAAATCGATTCGAATCTGACAAAAAAGTTTGTACAATCATGGAGCAATATTTGAATGTTATGTTGAAACAAATTAATGTAAGTGTACTAGAATTATCATCTAATGGGATTCTTAAAGTGAATAACAGAGCATATCATTTTTTTTAATTGCGAAAAAGGGTATCTTGCTGTTGCGTGTAATTAGTGCTGTCTGAAAAGAAGTGAATTATGTTTTGAAAAGGCTGACCTGTAAGATGTAATCCACCAGACTGCAGAGTTGGGCTGGCTTGAGCTGAAGGATCTTCTCCTTGTCCAGACATCTCTTCAGAAACCATGGGGTTGGGAAATACCACAGGATTTTACTGAGGTGTTCAAAAACTTATTCTTCCCTAGAAGTATCGCAGAGTGGAACTCGCTGTCACCAAGTACAACAGGGGCATTATCATTAGATAGCTTTAAACAATGTGTTTGGGAGAGCCACACCCCATGCACATTAAAGAACCCACCGCACTTATCGAAAAGACCTTATCGTAGGGGACCTTCCCGGTGTGAGTGGTTCAAACCTTACAGTCCGGTCTTACGCAGCTTGTACATGTACGCACATGTACAAAACTGGTGTGTTACGCCTAAAGGCGGTTTACCGGTTATGCGAAACAAACAAACAAAAATAAACAAACAAAATGCCTAGAGTTAGACGTTCAAAGGTTAGGTGTAACAAGTCATTCGGTGTAATGTACATAACCAGCTGCCATTGTGCAGTCAGTATTTAATGGATTCTGCTGCGGCCTTGTTTTATGCAGAAACTAGACAAGGTGCATTGAACTTATCAAGCCTTGTTCACTGGTTGTGACTACTCTCCAAGCAGAGGTTTGGGGTTATTTTTAGCGTGTTTTTAGGCTTTTTTATCAGGATTTCTCTTTTGCACTGGAATTTTTTTCCCACCAAACCCAACCTCTGCCGGCACTCACCCCGGGGCGGGGCAAACCTATTGGGTTTGGTGGGAAAAAATCCAGTGCAAAAGAGAAACCCCGATAAAAAAGCCTAAAACACGCTATTACAGTTGTACATTTAAATAACCCCAAACCCAAACCTCTGCTTGGAGAGTAGGTTGTGACAGATCCACAGTCTACATGTACATGTAAATGTACTCTCTATGTATTGATGGATAATTATACACACAGTCGAGTCAAAAAAGAGCAGACATCATAATTTTATTCAAGTTTTTAACATACAAACACCAGAAACAGGAATGAAATATACTAAACATTCACAGAACTAAACAACAGCAAAAACATCCTTGTACCAAACTACATGTTGTACATTGTATTGTCATAATGATTATACTAAATATAATATAAACCTGGTTATTTTCTATTCCACAATTCAATTAATAATAGAACTTTTTTTTATGATAAGACCAACACATTGTACCCTTTCAGCCAAATGATTTTCACCTTTCAAATATTAATGGAAACATACATCAACTGTCATCGATCGGAACTATAATTTATGTTATATCATGCATAATATAATCCTATTAATTATTAATGATATGAATCTTTGATGATTGTATATTCCAGTCCAGGTGGACTACATGTAAATGCATGATCATACTTGGTCTAAATATATGATATGCGGTATAAATTATTAATGCAAACATTTGTATCATAATGAGACCTGGCATGCTACACCTTTAACCATAATCCAAAACAAACAAATTTCACGCATCATTACAAACTGGAAGCATGTCTAAAATAGAAGTGGGTTTAACATAATAATGATACATAACATATCTAATACATACATGTACATGTATGGGTTAACACTAGAGGTAACTTTCCAAATGAACTCCCAGATAAACAATAATACCAAAATCAGTAGCTACAGATTCAATATAGTGGCTATATGGTTCACATCGGTGACCACCAGCTGTCCGCCTGTTGCCATGGCAACGGCCCGCGGACTCTTGATCTCCGTGGAGAGGTGCCGGAGGAATTTTCCCGTCCTGTCGAACAGTTCCACGCGGTCGTTTCCAGTGTCCGCCACGGCGATGTTGCCCGAACTGTCCGTACAGACGCCGTGAGGGTGGCTCAGCTGGCCTGAGTTTGGATAGATTTTTGTACTTGTCAATGAATAGAACCCTAATGTGTCACGATACCAATGTTGATTAGCGTTACTTAATAATTATTTCTTCTTAATAAATAATATCTAACAATAATATGTTATGTTGTTAAACATCATTAGACTGTACTATTTGATCAATTACTGTTATAATGTGCCAATTAATGTTGTCCGGGGAAGATCCCGGACAGGCCATAATGGCTTATATTTCCCCCGCCCCATATCCACTGTTATTATGTTCCATTTAAAGTTCTCAGTTACATTCATTTGGTAAATATATTTTATGGTTATAACTACAAGTAGGTCTTCATCATTTGTGCAAAATTTCAGTCATATTAATTTCTAGTATGTCTTTTTTTCTAAACTATGTGCTAATAAATAAAACAAAACAAACAAACAGACCTTCGCCACTCCCCTCGCCTCCAAACCTGAACAGGAACTGTCCGTCCTCGCTGTACGCAAACACCGAGTGACTGTCACAGTCTGTCACCAGGATGTTTCCATCCCTGTCTACAGTAAGGTACAATGGGTGCTTCAGTCCCTGTTGCTGCCTCGACAGTAAACCCCACCACGTGTTGCTTGCACCAATAGTTTCCACCAGTGTTCCATCTGGGTGGAACACCTGAATGAATAAATGTCGGTGAAGGTTAGACATCCAGGTAATACAGTAAGATACTAGTACGACAAAAAACAGTTACTCAAGCAACTGGATATGATTTGGTAGTGGATGCTACCTGAAATGTCTGACCATTTCCAAAATCATGTGCAGATTTTTGGCGTAATTGAATGAATGGTTTATTCAAGTTAAAATCAATTACAGCCATTTTGCTAAATTGTGGATTTCATTACAGTAACTGTAACAATACTTGGTACTTTACTAAAAGACAATGGCAGGATTTACATTGTAATTTCATAAACAAAAAATGTCCTTTTCATGAATACTTAATAACAATTCCATGGCAGCTTAATATTTTTGTTATTTACTTCATATTCACCACAAAACAAGGCTCATAAGAGCCACTCAAATGTTTTGGGTTACTGCACTAGACAGTGAGGACAGATGTTTGTTGACCTTTGACTTGATTTAAATTTTCCATTACAAATGAATAAAAATGGATAAAAAGTACTCAAAACCTTAATAGCTAGATGCACATAAAGTATGTTTTGCAAACAGTACACACCTGCACTTCCCCACGCAGCTTGTCCAGGTTGTCCCAGTCTCCTGTGGTCTGTGTGATGAGGATGCGGTTCCTCCTGGTGTCCACGGCAACTCCTCTGAACCACCTCGTGCCCTGCAGATCAAACTTCCGCAGCACGGTGCCCTGTTTCATGTACTGCACGGCAAACCCAGCCAGGTCGTCCTCCCAGCGTTTTCCCACCACCCACAGGTACCCCTTCCCGTCCAGGGCCACGTCACGAGGGTCCATCCGCTCTCCACCGGGCGACACGACTGTTGGGAACTGTCGGACAAACATTCCCTGCAGGGTGAAGACTTGGATCCTCTGGTTCTGAGTGTCTGCTACAAAGATCTCCCCTTCTTCGGACACTGCGAGTCCAACAGGACCCTCAAACTCTCCCGTTTCCATCCCCTCCCCTATCCTTGGAAGCCCTTGGTTATTGGAATGATCCGCGTCCAATTGCTGGATGGCTCCAGATCCAGGCAGGTGAGGCCGCCTTTCTCCCAACTGCTGGCGAACTTTCTCGCACAGACTGGCGGCCATGCGGTTGTCGGGGAAACCGGCGACCCCCTGAGGAGGCAGCCTGGTAAGCTGTCGGCAGTACGGGCATCGGAAGAACGTTGCGGCCAAGCCGCGCCCGATGCAGCCCTGACAGAAGGTGTGCTGGCAGGGAAGCATCTTCGGCCTGGTCAGAATCTCCAAGCAGATGACGCAAGACAGATCCTCGCAGATTTCGTCGATCAAACTCGACGCCATTTCGTCTTCCCTTCCTATGTTATCCGTTCAATGTCCAAATTGCAACTGTTTGTTATTCTACTTTGGGTGTTGTGAAATGCCTCTAGGTCCAGAACTGTCACATTACTTGCACTTGCATGGTTTGTTGTGTAACGATTAATCAAAAGTCTTTTAGACACCTAATGGTTTGTTAAGTAATGGATGATTACAATTTTATCGACCTTGGATATGTCCTTGTCCCAAAATTGAGGTTAGCTCTCCAATGTTCCAAAATGCAATTGTTAGTCAGACAGGCAAAAGCCTCGCCAGGTTGTTCTGTTTCCGGCACAGACCCTCCAGTAATGGTGACCCCCAGCTCCCACAAAAATCGTCACTATTTTATCCTTTCCTCCCCCGTGACATTTGCGAATGGTAGTGAGTCGACTAACAACAGGTTTCTGCTGCAGGACAGTTCTTAATGAATACAGTGTTTACAATGTATGCTTTGTCAAACCAAGTACACTTTGATCATACACTAGACTAAGTGTCCTTGATCCGGCTTATAGCTCCAGACAAGAATTTGCAGGATACAACGCAACGATCACGAAGTCTTCTCGGATTTGCCCCCACAAAAATCACTACTTTATCCTTTCCTTGCCTGTGATGTTGGCTGTCCAGTATCCAAACTGTGAACGACGGCAAGTCTTGTGATATGGTAGCACCATAGGCTGATATCAGAGCAGTTCCTTCTAGTCCGCCAAGTTTGACGTCATATTTTTGGCCTCAACCCTATCTCGTGATGTTATCTGTCCAACGCCCAAAATTATGGCTGCAAGGTCAGTGAGCTTTAATCTCCAAGCAGATCCCTTTCGGTGGCAAAAAGCCAGTATCAAATTGGCCAGGCAGTATCCATTAGCCAGAGAAGGTCGCCAGCCACCGACGGGTTAATGGGGGTAGCGAAAAAAAACACGTTACGGCCATATACATGTATAGAAAGGTATCGATCATTCCCCCACAACCTCTGCTTCACTCACTCACTCACTGCACGGCTTAACCTCCGTTGTTGCTTGGAGAGTATTAAGTGAGCTTACCATCGTCTTTGCAAATACCTTTTTGAAGGACAGGCTTTTGTATCCCCCTAACTGTACATAAAGGGTAATTGATGTTTGTTTTTTTATCTGACGTGTAATACCAAGTCTCAGCTTAGCAGCTGTCACAAGGACGCCGTCCAAATTATTATACCATCGAGTAGGGTCAGCCATAATGGGTTACACCTTAAAGTTTGTTCTGTCAGACTTTGGTGCCATTTTGTTGCCCTTTCCTATATGTACAGCTGCAGGTACTGATCTGAAAGGCCCTACAGTCTACATAATATACTGTAATTCCTGATTTTTTTCACGGTACTGTTATGTTCACTGTTTTCACTGTCACTTTTGTACCGTGAACTTATCATAATACAGTTAACAAATAATTCCTGGACTTTCTCTTTCCTGCACCTGTCGCCACCGTGAATAATAGTTCCGTGAACACCTCCATTTTTCTCAGACCGTGAACTTTTACTACTGTGAACATAAAGTGAATTACAGTATGTAATCTGATAATGTACTATGACGCACATTGCCCTCCAGGCTTAGCTAATTAAGGTATACACCCGACTTCACCCTATTCAGGTAAAAGTACCCTCTGGCTAGGTCACAGTCCATGACATTATCTTGGGCCTTCCAAATGCCTTTTGCGGGTAAAAGGTAAACTTTAAGGTAAAGGTAGCCCTGTAGTCCTTTTTTTCAGGCCATAGGGTCTGTAGTGGCAGTGGATTGTTAATTCACTCGGCTATTCCGAGATCAGGGTGCGCCAATGGCATCGTGCATCGTTATGTCATTCTTACTCTGTATTTATCGCATTCTGTTGACATTTATCAAACTTGTTATACTAGTACAGTTATTTTCCAGACAATCAGGAAGAGATTTGGTGTTAAGATGTTTAAAACTTATGCTATGGCCAATTTAAGACCAGAAATTGGCATAAAATCTACGTTATGCTGTTGCACTTGAAAAATGCCAGTTTTTGAAATATGCTTTTAAGTAATTTGGGAACAAAAAAATGGAATGAAAAGATTTGCAATATGTTCAGACATGCTCAGTCTGATATGTTTTGCAAAAAACCTGATGATGATTGGAAATTTCTCTTTTCTAGAGCGCATTTATCAATATGTTGTACACGTTATGTAAAATTCATAAATCACATTGCAACTAACTTATCTCCCTGTACTAAAAAGGATGGTGATAGAACTGGCCATTTTGCATGTTATGCAAGGTACATCCATATATGACACAAAACATGTGTTTTTATGTTGCTTGTCTTTTGGGTTAATATGGCTGATGGCTTACAGTTACCTGTCTTTTTTGTCCGAGAAAATGTGTAGTGTCCGTTGCTCGGTAATAACTTAAAATAGAAAAGCTGTGGGTGCATATGATTTCAGGTTTTAAAACAGCTGAAGATGCTGACTTAAAACACAGTAGCTATTTCAGTCTATTGCTGTAATCATATGAAATAATGTCAAAAAACCTCAAGGGTGTAGTGTCCGTTGCCATGTAGTGTCCGTTGCCAAGTATACCATATAGGTACATTAATTACATTTTGTTGCAATTTTGAAGTAATTTTGTCATTTATGTTATTTCTGTAGCATTTTGTCAACCCCTAAATGACAGGTCTTGCAAGATTTGGTGTTCTTGTCATGTACTTGAGCGGCCAGATGTGGCCGGCAACGGACACTACAACTTAGCTGTAGTGTCCGTTGCCGGCCACATTTGAAATGAGTGGGCTAAAGTTTGGAAGAGCACAACTTTTGAACTGAACGTCTCTATCCAAAAATTTAAAAAGTGCAATGTATGGCAACACCTCTAGTGCGATTTGCTGCACTGAAAGTAGAAAAATATAAAACTTGAAAAATTGGCCCAAGTGCAACCCTTTGGCGCACCCTGATCTCGGAATAGCCGACTGTCTCTTGGGCACGGTATTGGAAGGTGGCCCCCATCCTCTCTCCTTCCACCGCCTTTTACCTCCCCAACCGATGTCAGGTACCTATTTTACACCTGGGTGGACTGAGGAAAGTATTGTGAAGTGCCTTTCTCAAGGGCACAAGATCGGTGACACTACAGGGTAGGATTCGAACCTGGGACTTCTTGGTCCTGAGCCAAACACGCCACCGCTAAGCCACACGACCCCACTGGTCTATGCAGGACAGGCTGTTCTTTTTTTTTTAACCAAATTTAACTTCATTTTTCCCCAACCGGGGTTTAGACGTGCTTGCACCAGGTACAAGTCTTTTTTTGAAGCAAGATTTTTCTAACGCCTAACGCCAACCCAAACCCTAGTAGGGCCCAGGATCCCTCTAACTGTTATATCTACGTACATAATGGGTGATAATGATGTTTCTGACCCAGTAAGGTCAGCCACTATGGGTCTAATAAACAAGTCCGGTACAGTTCTCACAACTTTGTCAGACTTAACGCTTTTTTGTTGCACTTAAATCCTACATGTACAATACTTAACAGGTACATGTTTTTTTACATTATATTATACCCACGTGAAACCATTGTGTCTCATTAAATATTCATGTGGTGAGTCAACCCTCTTCAAGGAGACCACCTGCCCAACGTGACCACTTTTCTCCGGTCCCCTGGGTGGCCAACGTGAGCAGGTTTGACCAATGTACCGGGTATTAATGGAAAGGAATAAAACCTGACAGTCTACAAAAAACATAAATCAAACCACTATTTTTGTGCACAAAAAAGCATGAATCAAACCACTTTTTTGTGCAAGTGCATGACTAGTCTCATAATGACTGCATACTATGCACATGCCCTACAGGTTTGAACAGGACTTTAACCAATGTATTGGGTACTGTAAATGCATTTATGTTCGCGAGGACTTTTTTTCGCGGTATCAGCCAATTTGAGAGTTTGTGAGGGATTTGACTTCTTTGAGTCTTAGTAATAGTATACTTTGTTGTTGTTGCCTTCGTATATGCATGGTGTGTTAGGGAGGGGGGCGGTACGGAACAAAAGTGACTTCGCGACAAAAATCGAATATCGCGAAGTTAAAACTCTCGCGAACAAAAATGCATTTACAGTATTGATGGAAAGGGATCAAACCTTACAGTCTACAAAAAAGCGTAAATCAAACCAATTTTTTGTGTATTTGCATGACTAGTCTCATAATGACTACATACATACGTGTACAAAGAACATGCCCTACAGGCTATGTAATTAAGGCATTCACCGGAAGAGGTTTAGGTCAAAATAACCTCTGGCTATGTCACAGTTGAATTCACCCAGGTCGTCACGCTTCACTGACATTTGAAGGACATATGGGTACAACACAAAGCTGTTTATTTTCTTGACACTCAATCTTGGCTTGTTACACTCAATCTTTGCATATTTACAAATGTAATTGCAGGAGTTGTTTAAAGATCTCTAGTGATGATGCCCCAACTGTACTTGGTGGCAACGAGCTGCACTCTATGATACTTCTTGGGAAATACGAGTTTTTGAACACCTCAACTCTTGGTTGATAACTCTGATATTTCTGTATCATTCTGTATCTGTATAGCCAGTATAACCGCCCTTTGGCGTAACACACCTGCTTTGCAGGCACGCGGTGCAGCGGCAGCTGGCTACATTACACCGATCGACTTGTTACACCTAGCCCTTGGACATCTAGCTCTATAGACATTGTTCAAAGCTATCTAATGACAATGCCCCTACAGTACTTGGTGGCAGTGAGTTCCACTCTGCTATAGTTCTAGGAAAGAATCCTTGTTTGATAACTCTGGAACTTGAAGGCATGGCTATTTCTTGTTCTTTTCTGGGCTGGTATCAGATACTTAGTGCTTGGGATGTCTACGAGTTTATTACCAGTCATTTTGTACATCACGCACAGTCTGGACATTTTTCTTCTGTCTTTCAGGTACCCCCACTGTAGGTTTCTGACATTACCATTACACTAGCACCCCTTCCATAGTTGGTACTGTAATATACAGGGCTCAAAATTCATTTTTGGGAATCGGAGCACTGGTGCACCCAACCTAACAAATCAGGGGCACAAAAATTTTTCTGGGTGCATCATATAAAACAAAACATGATTACAGATCTTACTGCTCCTCTTCTAAGCTTGAACTTGAAATGAGAGCTAATTTAAAACTCTTACACGAGAAATACAACAAAGATTTTATTATTTTTCTGACGCATAAATGCCAAGAATATCCTGCATACTATTATTTATTATGTACAAAAATACCTACAAAAATATTTGGGTGCACCAGTCGACCCACAGAAAAGAAGTGGGTGCACAGCTCCAATTTTGGGTGCACTAAGGTGCACATGCACCCATTATTTCCAACCCTGCAGTATACCTAAGTTTGCAGAATTAAGATAATTCTCACCTGTGGCACTTTGGTGTCCCTGCCCTGCCACACTTTAGGGATGTGGATACATGCCCACAGAAAGTCCAGCGCAGCTGTGGAGTTGATTCTGGAAGGCAGAAAAATAACAGTATCTGGTCAACAAATAATCACTTTTCTTGCATTTTTAAAAATTTCTATTTACATGTAGTTCTATTGTTTTCAGCCTAAACAAAGGAAAAGATACAATCACATCTTTTTCTGTATACATAGGATCCACTGAGGTACATTGTACTATAACATTAAAGCTGCTTTTCTTCTTAATTCATTTTGTACACATTTGTCCCTCACCTGAAACTCCTGCAGTGCAAACTCAATACACCTGTGCAAATTGGGACTGGAATACACTTCCGCAGGCAATACCCAAAATCCCAGAGGCCGACAAGTTCAAGGAAGCCGTATTACTACACTTGAGGAACAATTAAGAGCGTAGCGCACTCCCCCTGCTTGTCTTACCCCAGCTGAGGGGTGTTACGTAGTACCTGTTTAAGATCAAAAGCTGCTGTGCCTCACACCTGTAACACACCTTTCCTACACCTGTGACTCACCTGTCCCTGTCTTGTCCTTGCAGTAGGAAGTCAGTACACCTGTGCAGCGTGTCGTAGTTTGTCTGGTGCGTGAGTAAAGCCAGCAGGTAGGGCTGCTTTGCACACTGTAGCAGGTAAGGCTACCTAACTCACCTGTGCTACATTTTGTACACCTGTAACTCACCTGTCCCTGTCTTGTCCCTGCAGTAAGAAGTCAGTACACCTGTGTAAGGTGTCGTAGTTTGTCTGGTGCGTGAGTAAAGCCAGCAGGTAGGGCTGCCTAACACACTACACCACAACACACCATACACAGGTATTCTACACCTGTAACTCAGGTATTCTACACCTGTAACTCACCTGTCCCTGTCCTGTCCCTGCAGTAAGAAGTCAGTACACCTGTGTAAGGTGTCATAGTTGGTCTGGTGGGTTAGTAAAGCCAGCAGGTATGGCTGCCTAACACACTACACCTGTAACACACCTGTTCTACATTTTGTACACCTGTAACTCACCTGTCCCTGTCTTGTCCCTGCAGTAAGAAGTCAGTACACCTGTGTAGAGTGTCGTAGTTTGTCTGGTGGGTTAGTAAAGCCAGCAGGTAGGGCTGCGTTGCGCTGCCTCCGCCGTCGCGAGAGAACAGGAGGTGCAGCTGGCGTTCGGGACAGGTGGCCACGATCTCGGTGTCCGACGTCTCCAACCAATCCACAAGCAGCCCCGACACTGGTGACGGAACCCTGGGATAGGTACATTACATTACAATTTACATAGACAGAACTTTATTGTACGACAATTGAACATAGCACAAAAAGAAAAGGGTATTATTTACAGAATGAAAATTAACATCCTGATTACTAGAAATCAAGAGATAATACAGTATATGATCAAGTAGGGCTACCAGTAATCACGAGCATCGCCCAAGGCACCAGTCCAACTGCGAATCGGATTGTCCGACTTCAGAAGGCTGTTGGGCAATCTGACTCATGAGAGGGCTGGAACCGTATTGTATTTTCATACCTACCCAAGAAAATGGGCCTTTCAATGCGAAATGAGCGAAAATTTGATGTACCAAAACCAACATAAATCCCATCGTCCGAATCCTGTATTTGAATTTTCAAAAATGGCGTATGCGGATGGTTAGGGCCAAACACATTCGAATCGCTCTATGGAAGCCCGGACCGTACCGTTATATAAGTATGGCCCAGTCCCGAACACCGTTATCGAAGCTTATCATGGCCCAGGTATGGTATAATAACTATTACGCAACAGATCTTATCGTTTGAGTGATTGAGATATGTTTTGTTCGACATTAGGTCTTACATGTATTCAACACATTTATTTTATTGTCTGTTACTTTCTTTATGTAGTTTGCCATACATTGTACCATGTGCAATTGTGCAATAAAGTTCTTCTTCAAGGACCATGACCCCCCCAAACATACCTGCCCCCTGCAGCTGACACCCCCCTCTGTTCCATCAGCATCCTGGCCAGTAGCTGGGTGTGGCTCGGGGTCACGACCTCCTCACCCTTCCCAGCATCCCCTGGGGCCAGCCTGAGGCCAAGGGTCAGACAGGCCACCAGAAACTCCTCCAGGAGAGGAGAGTTAAATCTGCACAGCAGGGCGCACACTGGGGGATAAGCAATTAATTGTGTGTGTTACAACCAATCAAGGAACCATTTAATCATAGAGTATAAACTTTAAGAAAAACTGTATCACATATACCTCATCTGTATCTGTATCGATATAGCCGGTATAACCGCTCTTCGGCGTAACACACCAGCTTCGCAGGTACGCGGCGCGGCGGCAGCTAGCTATATCATACCGAACGACGTCTTGTTACACTCAATCTTTGCACATTTGATTGCAGGAGTTGTTTGAAGCTTTCTAGTGACCTCATGCTAGTCAATAAACCATGATTGTATTAAAAGCTTCATCATATTTTTGCACTTACAACTGTCGTAAGTTCGAGAGGCAAGAAGAAGTTCAGTAGTCGAAGCCAAGTCTGTCAATGAATTTATGAACAAGCTGGATATTAAGCATTGCATGAGTAGGATGTAAGTCACCGATGTTGGATAAAGTAGAGACTAGGGTCACACAGGCTAGACACCTTCTACCCCAAAGATACTACCACATATCGGAGTACGATAGATATTGACTTGTATCACTGTTATTGAACATAGAACGTTATCACCATGACCTGTATTTAGCATGTAAGAGCAGAGATGTGCATGTACTGACCTCTGTGTACCAGGCTGAAGTCCAGTGGCTGACTGGGGTCGGCGTGTTTGACAGCAGCGATGGCCTGCCTAACCAAGTTCTGCTGATGTTGGTAAGGAGCCTCTAGGACTGCCTGCAACGCTGACAGAACTGGAACAACAGGAAGGAATCAGTAATCGGTACCATGGTCAAGGTACAAATGTACCTCCGTTGAATGCTGCGGTACTTATGGTACCCCAGTTACCACCTGTGGTACCCTATAGCCTGAAGTAACATGTATAGCACCTGTAGTACTCACCATTGATGTCCTTCTGTATCGGTGCTAGTTGTCTGTGGTACTGTTTCAGTACCGTGGTCAGGGTACCCCTGCTACTGTGGTACTTATGGTACCTCAGTTAGCACCTGTGGTACTCTATAGCAGGAGTATGGACAGTACTACATGTACTGGTACTCACCATTGATGTCCTTCTGTACCGGGGCCAGTTGTCGATGGTACTGCTTCAGTACCGTGGTCAGGGTACCCCTGCTACTGTGGTACTTCACCAGTCGAGACACCAGCGCAGGAAACCCGGATGACTGGCTCTTCTTCCGCAGAACGTTCTGGAAGTTTGAATCATCAACAACTGAGCATCAAATCGGACTCCAGCGGGAAAGACCAAAGAGACTTAGTTTCCAAAACAGATCTACCAACTTCTGATCTACATGCAAGTTTGTAAGAAGATACCACCTTAGCAGTTTGCCACAGTTACTTAACCTGGCAATCGTGAAAAAGTCCTGAATCTTGTCTTCTCAAACTAATTCAATATCTCTACTCAATGTAAATGTCTACAAGGTCAATGGAACTTTTGGGAGCTTTTTGTGCCCACATCAAACAATGGCGAAAACAGGTGAGAACTGAAAGGTGAGGACACACAGGTGAGGACACACAGGTGAGATAGTCTTATCTCTCGAGCCATGAGTAGTCTGAAGATAGGGCAGGACAGGTGAGAGTTCTGATGAAGACTAGATGTAAACGGAATGCTGTAGTCTCCCCCACACAGGTGAGAACACACAGGTGAGGACACACAGGTGAGAACACACAGGTGAGGACACACAGGTGAGTCTTACCTCTCGAGCCATGAGTAGTCTGAAGATAGGACAGGACAGGTGAGAGTTCTGATGAAGACTGGAAGTGAAGGGGATGGAGTAGTCCCCCCCCCACACACACAGGTGATAACACACAGGTGTGAACACACAGGTGAGGACACACAGGTGAGGACACACAGGTGAGGACACACAGGTGAGAACACACAGGTGAGGACACACAGGGGAGAACACACAGGTGAGAACACACAGGTGAGAACACACAGGTGAGGACACACAGGTGAGAACACACAGGTGAGAACACACAGGTGAGAACACACAGGTGAGAAAGACTTACCTCTCGAGCCATAAGTAATCTGAATATGGGACAGGACAGGTGAGAGTTCTGATGAAGACTGGATGTGAAGGGTATGCTGTAGTCTCCCCCCCAACACACACACAGGTGAGAACACACAGGTGAGAACACACAGGTGAGAACACACAGGTGAGAAAGTCTTACCTCTCGAGCCATGAGTAGTCTGAAGATGGGGCAGGACAGGTGAGAGTTCTGGTGAAGACTGGATGCCCCCCCCCCACACACAGGTGAGAACACACAGGTGAGAACACACAGGTGAGAAAACAGGTGAGAAAGTCTTACCTCTCGTGCCATGAGTAGTCTGAAGATGGGGCAGGACAGGTGAGAGTTCTGATGAAGACTGGATGTAAAAGGTATACTGTAGTCTCCCCCACACAACTGTAGGATGGTGGCGATCAGAACGTCCCCGAGACTTTCTCTGTGCTCCTCACCTCGCGTGATGGAGGAAATCTCCTTGGCCAAACCCTGGAAGGGAACAGAAAAAAATGGGAAAATGCAGAAAAAGAAGTTACAATCCAGAAAAAAAAGTATGATTAACCTCAACTTATAATTTTAAGCTGGTTTGTTGAGTCAAAGGGCAGTTATACCTGATATACACTGATACAGATTAGCTTTGATAACGGCCTTCAATTCAAACAAGATGAATGACTTACTACAGTCACAACATTTGACTTTCTAAACATGTACAATATATTGTTTGTATCAATTTATTCTCAATCCATTTAGATTATCCTTTAAGTAAAAGGTAAGGTCTCGTTTTCACAATTTTTGTGAACTTTTTGTGAAACTTTACATAAGAAAGTACTTAATGGTAACAAAATAATAATTACAGAATAAAATTAGGAACAAATTGATAAAAATTGATTGGTTAAAAGTGTCTCACCAGCTGGATGCCCTTGACAATGTCCTTCTTCATGGCCGAAGTGACCTGGGCTCCGGGGTCAACTGGGAACAGCTGTGGGATACAGAAGGGTGAAGGTCATTTATTTCACCTTGAGGATACCTGGGTGGAACCTTCCACAATGTTTGTTTAATGATGGTATTAGTGCCCTCTGGCAGGATGAACAGAAACTGCAGTTCGAGAACCCGCACCCACCCATACACACAAGGATGTGCACATACACATAATGCCATACACACATAGTACACATTTTATACACATGCACACACACACGCACACACACAAACACATGCACACGCACGCACACACACACACACACACACACACACACACACACACACAGAGTCACACACACACACACACACACACATTGAAGAGAAACTGTTTGCTCCTTACCTTCACAATTTCTTGCATCCAGCCAGCTTCTGTAGATGGTGGTCTGAAACAGCCAAGTACATGAATGTTACACCTTATAAGCCCAACATTTTTCAAGTTACTAGTTTAAATTTTAAGCTTACCTCATTACACCTCTTCTGACATTTTATTCCTAGGCTTGTTAATTGCGTCCATTGTCTTTCAAGATAGCTGGAAATACATGGCTGGATGGCTGTACATACATGTACTGTACACAATTGGTACAATGTATCTAACACTAAATCTTGGTATAACCCAGAACTATTGTAGACTGGAACTCGTTGCCACCAAGCACAATTGGGGCATCATCACTAGAAAGCTTTAAACAACTCCTGCAATCAAATGTGCAAAGATCGAGTGTAACAAGTCGTTCGGTGTGATAAAGCTAGCTGCCGCCACGCCGCGTGCCTGCGAAGCTGGTGTGTTATGCCGAAGGGCAGTTATACCGGCTATACCGATACAGGACCAGGTAAGTTCTAACACACCTGTAGGAAGGCTGTGGTCGCCTTGACAACCCTTTCTCTTCCTCCACAGGTGAAGTCATCTCCACATCTGCCACAGCTCCTATATCCAACAGTCAGCACAATGAGTGATGTAACTTACATGTCTTAGAATTCATGACATTCAAGACCAACATCTAAAAAGTATCACACATTTGTTCAGTACATATTTTGTGCACACTGATACCACGAAAATAAACAGCCAAAATTACTGCTGCACAAAATTTCCATGTCAATGTTAGAAATAAAATGAAAAATGAAAAAAATTACTGTTAGGAGAGCTTGTAGCCATGGATTCTGATTCTTTCAACAAATGGCCGTAACTTTACATGTCACTGTGCACATTTGTATCATCTCCCAAGCTAAGCTTACTGTTTCCTATGTCCAAATAACAACCTTTTGGTTCTTATTCAGAAGCAAGACTACTTCTATCTTTAGAACTTGACTATCACTAAAACTTGCTATTGCTGAATGAGAAAGCTGTTACTGTAGCTTGCCATGTAGACTTACCCGTGGACAGAGACCCGTGGTCGTTGAGGAAAGCCTTGAACTTCTCTCCTCCAACCACACCCCGCATGTGCTGCACCTCGACCAGCTGGCTCATGTAGGCTGCGGGAGGGGGGCAGGCGGAACAGGTTCAGGACATTGCCAAGGTCAATGTTGTACAATTGAGGTCAAACATTTTAAATGTTTCTATTCAAATGAACTGCTTTTAGTTAAATTTCATTTGTGGGAAGGGGGGAGGTGGAAACAGTTTTAGGCAAGGTCATTGTTGTTCGATCAAGGTCAATGTTACCGTTTACAACTCATGTAGGCTGCGGGAGGGGGGCAGAAATGATCATGACATAAGTACAATGATTTGGCCCAGATCGATGTCTTCACCTTAAGGTTGACACTGATACCTGCATATGCCTTTAATCACACAATCCCTGACAACAGTTTCTGCACACATGATGCATATGGTACACAGGCCTGAGTTATATGGTTACAGTAACCCCACGTTCTGAAACCCCTACATGTACAAATGTACATTTTGTATGTTCCGACAATGCTAACCCTATATTGGAACATAATTATAATATTATGGATATTGGGACATAGAGCTGCCCATAGTTATACAAATCCACCTAAAGGTACATGTACAAATGTAGAACAAGCAGCATGCAGAGTCGAATGATCATGCTGTCTCAAAAGCCTTGCAAGAAGGTGAGGTCAGGTGTGAGAACTAGACTGGGTCAACTTGATGAAAAAGTAAACTAATATGTTTCTTCACAAGCTACATGTATGTACCATATCAAGTAATGTAACATTTTGTTGAACATATTTGGGATGTCAGTCTCTGTAAAAAAAAAAAAGTCCTCAAACCCCAGAGAGCATGCATTCTCAGTGCTACATTTGACCCAGTCCTAGACTTTCCAAGGAAGCAGCAAAGATCAGAAATGTTGCCAGACTGAGTGAATGAATATTAAATATTTAGAAAAATGATGCCTAATCTCCAAGCAGATCCTACGGTGGCCAGACTGTATCTATTGGCCAGAGGAGTAGCCATAAGCCTCTCATGGCTAATGGGCACTAAAGCCAATGTACATTGTACAAGATTAGTCATGATTATATACATTTTTCACCATAGGATCTGCTCAGAAATTTTACTATATTTTATAATATATAATAGATAGATTTTAGTATCATCATCATGGAGTTTATTTGTATCAGTCCTCACACTTACAGTATCAATGACAATAATCTTAGACTGTCGTTCCTCAGTTCTATGTGAAGGCATCAAAGTCAGCAGAGCTGGCAACATTTCTTCTTTGATTGAAAGACGCTTGATAAAAAAATTATATACATTACAGCAGTAAGTTTGCCGAATGTGCAAAGACCATGAATCATGATGGTGAGTCAAAAAACTGCAGCAGAAAAAGGAAGGAAGAGTCCACCACTCACAGGGGTCTGCAGGGTGTCCCGTGGAACGCACCACGTCCGAGAGAGGAGGGTAAAACAAAACAAAAATGTTCAAGAGAGGCAGAAAAACGTTTCCAGGCCACACCAATTCGATTTCTTGGTTCAACAATTAAAAAAAAACATTGCTGATTGTGTGAACCAGTAACAGTAACCTTCTCCCTGCTGCCTTTCCAAAAAACTTGTACAAATTTAGTTCAAGAATTAAAAAAAAAACGTTGCTAAACTGGAAGAATAGCTGCTGCAGTAACCTTCTCCCTGCTTGAATCAAATCTTCAGAGTCAAATCTTGGATATTTGAAAATTAGTTTCTATACTCTGTTTTATTCCGTGTACTAAATTTGATATATACTCTCTAGCTCTGTATTCTGTCTTTTTATGTGAAAAATAAAATAAAAAAAAAATTAAACAAAATAGGATTTCCCCCAAGCCCCTAGACTGTTTTCGTGATGATCTCCTTCTAAAGGTTCATGCAAAAATGTTGAGAACCGAAGAAATCATTTGGTGTGGCCTCATCAGGAAATGCACCAGAAGTGAGCAAATTGCAGAGAGAGGAAAAAGTGAGATTCTATTTGTTTGTTTGTTTGTTTGTTTATTGTTTACCTTTGTCCACGACGGCTTGCTGCATGGCGAGAGGGTTGTGAGTCACGGCCTCGTCCAGGCAGATCAGTAGTTTGCTGGGGTAACAAAAAATGGAATTAAAAAAAAAGACCGAAAAAGACCTGGATGGAGTGTGTAAAGAGAGACATCAGAGAGCGTGGCCTTGCCAGTGTTAACCCACTGGACAGGGCTGCCTGGAGGTGCAGTGTGAAGACCAGTACTATTAGCCGACTGCTGCCGACCCCTGTGGCAGGGACAACAGCAGCAGTATAATCAAATCCTGGATAGTGAGTGAGTGAATTTACCATAAAAAGCTGCATGTAATCATTCAACATTCAGTGCTCAAAATACCACCTGCATAATTATGCAGGTTCGTGCAGATATACAATGTAATCAACTGACCTAACCTGCACTCATCCATGTACTGTGCATGTTTATAATAATAAAAAATATTATACAAATGTAGGTGTATGTGGATTTTTATAATATTATGTTTTGTTGACTGTTACCCCCTATGTGAAGTATAAAAGAAATATTGGCAAAGGTTTTTGAACAGTTTTTAGTATGATCCAATATACTTCTTAAATTCTGAGTGGCACAGGTAAAACTTTTCTTGTGCAGAAAAAATTCAGTGTTACAACAGGACCTGGTATGCCTGCAATGGCCCTGCCATTGAATTCTTTGTCCAAGTTGATAGTCTTTTTGTCCAAGTTCAGGAGAACTTACCTCATACTGTCCATGGGGATGCCGAATGACTGCACAAATAGAACCAGCTGGGCAGGGTCAAGGTCAAGCAGGGCTGAAGGTCAAAGACAAGGGGGATTGAATATATTCATTCAAATTGATAAATTCTAGAATTATTTCTAATAACTTTCTTTTGGAACACAGTAACTGTTATAAACTGATGACAACAGTGTTGTAAATGTACTGTAGTTGTGTATTGAGGAAGTTTGAAAAATAAAATACAGCAAGCAGTATATTTAGTCTTTAAATTTTTCAAATAAACCCCCTTCCTATTCCCTACAGAATGGTTTCTTCCAAGGAACCTTTTCGACCTACCAGCATCCACCAGTCTCTGGACATGTGACCTGATCATCCTGAGCTTCAGCCAATCAGGGAGCAGGAGGGCCTCCTCTGATGTGTCCACCAGGTACGCGGCCGGCGGCTGACCCTGGATCGGGAACCAGACCTCCAGCAACCAGCTGTACTCATTCTCTCCTGAAGGAAATGAGGCATTTTTAGCACACTATACTACTTTTGTGGTGAGTGAGTGAGTGGGTTGGTGAGTGAGTGAGTGAGTGAGTGAGTGAGTGAGTGAGTGAGTGAGTGAGTGAGTGAGTGAGTGAGTGAGTGAGTGAGTGAGTGAGTGAGTGAGTGAGTGAGTGAGTGAGTGAGGGAACCAGACCTCCAACAACCAGCTGTACTCATTCTCTCCTGAAGGAACAGAGACATTTTCAGCACACTATACTACTTGTCTACATGTACTTTTGGTGTGTCTTCCTACATGATTGTCTAGAATTTCCCCCTAGGACGATTCCAGATTGCCCTGGATTCCAATCTCCCCTCTGACATATACATGCATGTAGGCAATCCTAAAGGACTATGGATAGTTGAAAACAGCCAAAATTGCAGAATAATTTTTAGGAGAGTGATCCTAAATTTCACAACATATAGTGTGTCAAATTATTTTCCCGATCTAGCCAAATTTCAAATACTATTTTTCAGCTAGCGTCATTAGTCTGGTGAAGACTAAGTCCTCGTAGTAGATGTTTAAATTACTCATATCTTTCAAAGGAAAATAACTGAGACAAATCGTTCCAACTCTATCTGATTAAAGCTTTGGTGTAATCCTTATAAAAAGGCTTATGAGACAAAAAGATAAACATGCTCACCTGTTATTTGTAGGAACAACACTACTAAGAGAACTGAAAAACACATACAGTATCACATACATATCAAGAACCATCATTCCAGCAACATGAGGAAGTAGTATAGTGTGAACCTCTAGGTTCCCCGTATGTGAGGAGGATGATCATGGCATGCACCACCAGGATGTGCATGGTGGCCCCCTCTCCGGTGCTCCAGCGCAGAAAGATCTGGTCCTGTGACTCCGACTGTACATGTGAGAATAGACATGGTTCTTCCATTGTTCAATTCTGAGGCATTTCGAATTCTATTTTGTCTTTCACATGATGAAATCTCAATTTTATAAATATTTAAGACATTCTAAAATATTATATAAATCTTTTCTCATTTGTCACTACATGTAATTGTCTTGCAGGGAGTGAGCTTGCTACAGACATTGTTTAAAGCTATGGTAGATAGTTCCTTCCTGCATCAAATGACGCATAGGGCAGTGCCAATATCCAGATCAGTAGCTCTTGGGCCACACAGAAGTGCAATCACTACAGCAGGGGGCTAGTCCACTGGTAACTTCTGCAATATTAAAAATGTCTCTGTAAATACAATTGCATACTGCAGATAGGTATTTCTAACACTGTAGATACGAACCCATGCAGGCTCGCCCTGTGGCTGCAGCACCATCTTGAAGTACTGTATGTAGATGGCGAGCAGAGCGCAGAAGGCGATGTCAGCCTCGTCTCGACCTCCGACCCCGCGCGGCATCAGGTGACTGATGATGGTGGGACGTTCCACTATCACTGT